AATTTAATTCGTTAATAAACAGTTTTTAAATTGTAAACAAATTTAAGCGTTCTTGAGACCCTTCAAGCTCTTTTATTAGAACTAAACCAATTACCAAATCCGATTTGAATATATTTTACATATTTTATTAGTCAACACTTTTAATTCTAATTCAAATTTTAACGTTTTTCGTCATTCTAATTGGCGCTAGCAACCTTCTTATTAGATTATTGCCCAGTATCCAATACGATTTGCATACGTTTTGTGTCATTTCTCTCTGTGTGTTGGCAACTGACGTCAGCTGTGAGATAAAAGTCTCTCTCTTGAAACTGAATTCTTATTAATTAGTTAAAATAAAATAATTTCCCAGCCATTTGAAAATGAATTCTTATTAAAAATACTTGTGTATTTTGCATTTGCCGATTGATATCTCTAGAGAGTATTATTCTTTTCAATATAGACATATAGAAATTGAATTTTATGATTTGCATGCAATGGACGCTGACCTTGATCAGAGAAGCGGGGGGCGGAGTCAAGCATGATTTGTGCCTGGCAGCAGCTGCAGCAGCAACAGCAACAACAACAACCACAACCACAACCATTTGAGACCCCTCCTTCCTGGCTTCCCCTTTCAATCAATCAGACAACGACTTCATTTGAAGCTGGGCACATGGCCAAGTCTATTGTGGGCGTTGCTTAAATCCAATCTAATCGTGGCTTTATATATACATACATACACATATGTATATATCATTTCTATTGATATTGATGTGTGTATGTAAATCCATGTTGTATGTCTAACGTATTTGCATTGGCCTATTCACAGACTATCCGCCCGTTGATAGTTATACCGGTTATCGGGTAACTCCACCCCAAAACAACAACAACAACAACAGTACTGGTACCAACAAAAACAACAATAACAACAACAACAGCAGCAGTAGCAGCAACAACCAACACCACCACCACCACCACATCCACAGAATGGACACCGATGATGTCGAGTCGAACACCAGCAGCGCCATTACCACATTGGGCACCCTCTTCTCATTCCAATCGCCGGCCGTCAAAAAGTTGTTGGGCTGGAAACAGGGCGATGAGGAGGAGAAATGGGCTGAGAAGGCCGTCGACAGTTTGGTAAAGAAGCTCAAGAAGCGTAAAGGTGCCATCGAGGAACTAGAACGTGCCCTATCCTGCCCCGGTCAGCCATCCAAGTGTGTGACCATACCACGATCGCTTGACGGACGATTACAGGTAAGAGTGAAAGGCGAATTGGGCAAAAGCTATAGAAGAGCAATTACATTAGTGTTGATTGGGAGCGAATTGAAATATAGATAGTGCACGGTATACAAAATATAATAGAGGGGAGACTATATAAGAAAAGAGTGGCAAGTAGTATGTATATAAGACATCAGAAATAATGGAAGATCGTATAGTTAGTAAATGTAGTAGTAGATACCGTAGAGATTTTAGATAGATAATATATATAGATGTAGATATGTATAAGTAGACGAAATATGCAATTCTTAGTTGATATAGTAGTAACTATAGATAAATAGAAGTATAAATATGCAAGTAGTAGTAGATATAGTAGTAACTATAGATAAATAGAAGTAGAAATATGGAAGTAGTAGTAGATATAGTAGTAAATGTAGATGAAAGTTGTAGAAATATGCATGAAGTTGTATATAAGGTAGTAACTCTAGATAAGTAGTATTAGAAATATGCATGAAGTATTAGATAATGTATTAACTATAGATAAATAGTAGTAGTATAGTAGAAGTTAGTAGTAGATATATGTTGTGTTACTAATTAACGAGTAAGGTAAAAAGTATGGGCAGAATATAGTACTTTTGGGCAAGTGGTAGAAAATAGTAGTAGACTCAGTAGCATATATCTTATATATGATATTAGTGATATAGTATATAGAGAAATATCTATGGATAGATGGTATACATGGCTGTATGTATAGGTAGGTAATAGTAGATAAAGCGCAGGTGTAGGAAGTAGTACTTTAAACAGTATATAATTTGAATGAATATATCCAAATAATGATATTAAAAGTAAACAAATTGTTATGCTAGTCAAACAGTTATTGCCATTTTCGGACCTTCAGTTCAATCTTTTAATCCGTTCTTCTCTGCTTGCCCCACTCAGGTATCTCATCGCAAAGGCCTGCCGCATGTGATTTATTGCCGCGTTTGGCGCTGGCCGGATCTACAGTCGCATCACGAACTGAAACCGCTCGAATTATGCCAATATCCGTTCAGCGCCAAACAGAAGGAGGTCTGCATCAATCCGTATCACTACAAGCGCGTGGAGAGTCCAGTATTGCCGCCAGTTTTAGTGCCGCGCCACTCGGAATTCGCGCCGGGTCACTCGATGCTCCAGTTCAATCAGATGGCCGAGCCGAGCATGCCCCACAATGTGAGCTACTCGAACAGCGGCTTCAACTCGCACAGTCTCAGCAATAGCAACACCTCGGTGGGCAGTCCCAGTTCCGTGAACTCCAATCCGAATTCACCGTACGAGAGCCTGGCTGGTACACCGCCGCCCGCTTACAGCCCCTCCGAGGATGGCAACTCCAACAATCCGAACGATGGCACACAAATGCTCGATGCCCAGATGGGGGATGTGGCTCAGGTTAGCTACTCGGAGCCTGCCTTTTGGGCATCCATTGCCTACTATGAGCTCAATTGCCGTGTCGGCGAGGTGTTCCACTGCAATAACAATTCGGTGATTGTCGACGGCTTTACGAATCCATCAAACAACTCCGATCGCTGCTGCCTCGGCCAGCTGAGCAATGTCAATCGCAACAGTACCATAGAGAATACGCGCCGTCACATAGGTATTTATTATAATTAATAAATTGATTTTACTATAATTCAATATTAATTATCTTTGGCATTTTCAGGTAAAGGCGTTCATCTGTACTACGTAACCGGCGAGGTCTATGCCGAATGTTTGTCCGATTCAGCGATATTTGTGCAGTCGCGCAACTGCAACTATCACCATGGCTTCCATCCGAGCACCGTTTGCAAGATACCGCCGGGCTGCTCATTGAAGATCTTCAACAATCAGGAATTTGCTCAACTGCTGTCGCAATCGGTGAACAATGGCTTCGAGGCCGTTTACGAGCTGACGAAAATGTGCACGATCCGCATGTCGTTCGTGAAGGGCTGGGGAGCCGAATACCATCGACAGGATGTGACATCGACGCCCTGTTGGATTGAGATACACTTACACGGGCCGCTGCAGTGGCTGGACAAGGTGCTCACACAGATGGGGTCGCCGCATAATGCAATAAGTTCCGTATCCTAAAGACAAAATCGGGGAAACTTTGAGAAAAGGAAAGAGGAAATCGATTGGAAAATGGAAATAACAAACACAGACACAGAAACACACACACACACCTGCAGGCGTAGTGTGCTATGCTAAAAGCCGTGTTATAATTGTGTGTGCGTGTGTGTATATATATGCCTTACACACATATATATATAAATAGATATATATGTATAAAGAAAGATATATAACTAGTTATATATTAGACAGCTACTCAACCCGCCTCTCGCCCAACTACACATACTTATCTATTTTATAGTTTAAACATATGATTTTCTATGCGAATGTCATTCCTTATGCAACAAATTGAAAACTATGTTGAAGCAAACAAGCAAGCGAAAAAGAAAAACTAACTACAATTTGATCTATATATATACACACCTATATATATGTATATATTTCTATAATT